GTGGCATGCGATGAGTGAGGCATGCGTGTCTCGGTGCTGCAGCAAAGGAGCCAAGTGTCCGTGCAAGTGTCCGAGCTCTTCCCTGACAACATTGTGTAATGTTAGAAATTGCGCTAAGCAAACACCGCAAGGTACTCATCAAAAGTACTCTTCTTTGTGCCCAGGAACGGAACACGTTCCCTCCGTACATAGTGTCTTCGCCCAAGGCATTTCCTAAATGTAGCGTAGGCGCGATCCAATTGCGCCAAAGCAATTAGCAATGTTTGATTATTTCTAGAGCTACTGAACAAAGATGAACATTCAAATTCTTCATCATTCGTGAAAGGAGCACCATTTCACTAGGAGAACTGTTGTTATTTTCACTATTCATGAAGCTGTAAGCAGTCCAACGTTTGCTGGCGCTGCGTCTTTGGATCAGGTACTTGTCGAGTCCCATTGTCGGATAACCGAGCTGTGACTGGGATTGAATTGGTTTACGCATTGAGCCACTATATCGGGTGTTTTTCCCATACTTTTGTTTTTTGTTTTGCTCGATGCTTCCGTCTTCTATGGTGTGGCACTTGGTGAAATCATTGATCTGCTCGGAATGTAGTCACATCGATCGGCAACCTTCCAGCGCAGATACTAACGATCAGCTTCTGTTTTAGCCACAGAGGCGTTACGTGGAAGATATCGCCAAAAAAGGACTAATCTCTTGTTCAGGCTCTTATGTTCCAATGATGTGGGAATGGTTCTCAAGGCACTTTCGGATGCAAAGCAACAACTGAACGCGATGCACAAGTTATTCGCCGACTTTGTCGAAAAAATAGTGGGCTCAGGGCAGAAAATGACAAGCAAGGGAAGTATTTGAAAAACAATAAGTCCTTGATCCAAAAATTTTGACGGTAGTTTGGTGTCCTGGTGCCTCCATAGCCGGTCGAAAACACAATAGAATAACATTTTATTGCGAATAATAGTGCAGAGAAGGAGTTAATATCGGCTTGCTCTTGACGACAGAAACGACTGGTTTGAAGTGGCGAAGAGGCCCTTAACATTGCATTTCACCGGGGAAAGCGGATGTTTCTGCGCGAGCTAGAGTTCAAATTTAAATACAAATCTTATTGCATGCAGCACACGTGTAATAGGGCAAAACATCTATAAGAAGGAAAAGAGACATAAAAATGAACAGATCCAAAAATCCTAGAAAGAAGAGGAACAACAGAATGTTCAATGTGAATTCTAATGGACAAAAGTGAATACCTGGTACATGTAACAAAAAACCAATCAGCGAGAGAAAGATTTCTATCTAAGTGTTTTTTGAAACCTGAACCTGGCACCGTACACTTTTTGGTGATTTTTAAAAAATAAGTCGCTACTCACGGAAGAACATGGCCTACGAAGAAGAATTCTTAGTGGTTAACCCCGTGTTGACATACGCGGTAACTGATATAACTTAAAGAAGTCTCCAGATTTGGGATCAATCAAGCCATGAAAAATCCTTAATACCATTAAAGGATCATTGTTTTTTCGTCGGAGCTTAAGAGTGTCTAATTTAAGCACAGTGTTCCTAATGATACTTCGCGGAATGCTGCGATACGTGAAGCCCGGTGAAGGAGGAAACCTTCTTAGTGCTCTCTCAATCCGATTCACCAAGGCTTTCTTATTAGGAGAGAAAACACAGGTATCATATTCAAGCATAGGTCTAACATAAGTTTTGTATGCCAAAATGAGAAGCTGCGAATCCTTAGAGCACGGAGATTTGTGCAAAAGAAAAAGGCGTTGTTCCGCTCTACTAGCAATTCGCTTACAATGCTCATCATACGAGAGTTTACTGTCCACAATGAACCCTAGATCCCTCACTGAATCGACTTTATTAATGACGACGCCTGACAAGAGATAATCAAATCGACGATTATTATCCCAAAGATGAAGAAATTTCGTTCGAGTTGTTGCTAGATGGTAAATATTGCCTATACGTCGGTTAGAAAAGGCCCAAGGTTCAGTGTATTGATTCGCAACAAAGTTTTTCTGCGAGTGAGATAGAAAAAGGCGATCAGTTGTAAGAGTAGGTTTAGCGGAATTAAATGCTGCCTCAGCCAATGCTAGAGGCAATTGAGATTTTCCATGAACTAATAGTCTATCAAAAAATATCCCATTAGAGAACGGTCAAGGAGGATGGACGCTTCTTCACAAAGGTTCATCCATTTAGGATCCAAATTGAAATACCAACTACTCCAATTTACAAAAGCCAGTTTTTTTTCCCTTGCAGTAGTCTAGATTTCACGGAACGCTCTTGATTCTGATATGATTTGCTACAAGGATGCTATCATCGCCTGCGTATCGCAGGCGATGATTCCCTCACGACCTCATCTGGCGGGAGCGGACCACCTGGGATAAGGCTCACGCTTATAACTCACTTACTCATTACTCGCTATCTACTACGTGCGGTCGTAATAAATATTACTCGATTCACTCTTCGTTTCCGTCTTAATTCGTATCACAATTCCACTGAACCACCACGAGGTGTTTATAAAAGGGTTAATCAACATCCTCAGTCTCAGCTCTCGCAACAGCTTGGTGCATCGGCCTAAAGAAGCCACTGTACTCCCTTGTCAAAGCGTCGCAACTTTGAGACATGGAGTCGAGACCAGATCTTTTAGCACAATCATATAAGGTCGAATCTAAGACCTTGAAACAATTGATTCACAAGCCTCCCGTCAAAGTACCTGGAGCAACTTCTCTACAAATTAAGCAGACCAAACCTCTCGTACACAGTACCTGGAGTTAGCTTGAGCATTAATAACAAAGTAAGTATTTTAAAGAAGAAATACTATATCAAGCAAATTTAATAATGGCACTTTTATTCCACAAGATGCCTATAATTCTGAGTGCACAGACGCTCAAAAATTTAGTACTCCGTTAGAAGGAGTACACCTCGAAAACAGATTTTACTGTAATAGATGAGGAGAACTATGAGAAATGTAGGTCTACAATAGCACTATTGCAAAGTGGCCTACAACAACTTATATGTGGCCAGGAAAAAACAGAAAAAAAGGCGCATGGAAATCAAAGAAGAGTACAAAAACTGCAAATCAAAGTCGGAAAGAAACGAATTGGCAACGGAAATAGTGCAGATAGAAGAGGAATTGGGCCTGAACATAGTAATGGCCGAATCTGAGGACCTATGCTTCATGCTAGCGGCACGTCTCGATGAAGCGAAGTGTGCCAGAGACAGAATGAATGTCAAACTGAGCTACATCACGCAGAAGGCGCAAATTGAAAATAACGAAACGGATAACCAGGAAGTCCATATTATCCCTATGAAGAAAGGGTCAGCACGGAGAGTGCAGAAAACAGTGCCTCATCAAACAGGCCTAATTCGGAGCAAATCCAACGCGAAAGTTTCACCATTAAAACTTCCGCTAGGTCCAGAAAACCTCCGCAAGCATCTCTACCGAAATTTGACGGCAATTCAGAAGACTTTCCGGAATTTGGGCGGTATTTGAGGCACTTGTACATAAAAGTACCCAACTTGATGTTATGAAGAAAATTCTGTTGCTCAAAGAAAGCCTCAAAGGTAGAGCTCAAAACACAATCAAAGGAATACAACTTGTCCCAGATAATTATGAATGGATCATACAAACTTTGCAGGAAAATTACTGCAACCAGCCCGTAAATCGGTCACAGATAATTCAAACGCTGGTTAATTTGAAACCAGCCATAAATTCAGCAGATGATTACTCGGCCGTCTTTGACTAAATTCAGGTCCTAATCAACCGAATGATATCCGCAGGGTACGACGTGCGCGGAATACTTGCAAGTCAATATGGAGCGAAATCATCTTGGCCAAATTCTCTCAGGATATTGTCAAGCCTGTTCTGATATCAGGGCAATCCCAAACCAACAAAACAACGGCAGACTTAATGGGTCATCTTAAAAAAGAGATGGTCGCTAAGCTGTACATTGAGAAAAGACTTGGCCACGCAATCGAAAACAGATTTGACCAGGTATTTAAAAACAGAGGCACCCTGCCGCGAGGTGTTTATAAAAGGGTTAGTCATCACCCTCAGTCTCAGCGCCCGCAACAGCTTGATGCATCTACTTATTTACCAAAGTAAACTACTCTAAGAAAGCGGATCCCAACGAAGCTGAGCAGCTTTTGAGCTCACAAATTCAATACCCTTTTTACATCGAGGAAATTAGGCACTTGTTTTAGACTAGACTTTTTATTCAACTTCTTCTTCCCCAGGGAAATTCCATCTAAGAAGGATCCCCTGCCCTGCAAGGACCCGTGAAAATGCCTCATATACCTCTTCCTTTTTTTGCTTGATGTTATGAAGGCTATGAAATTTCTCTCTGCGCAACTCGTTGTACGGTGTTACCGTCTTTTCACTCGCGATCGCTCCGGTAATTGCCGATTCTTTTTCTACAACTAACGGCAGTGATCACAGGTGCGAGTGAATAACTGTGTATTATTTCTGACCACAAAGGATTTTGGAGCCATCAATCAATGGCACCGATGGCAATACACTATCGGCAATATTTTTAAAAAAACTTACCTCTAATAGGTATGACAATAATTGTCCGTAGCGACAGGATAGTGAATTCAAGAAGGCTTGATTCCAATAAGAAGGAAGTTCAGTACAGGCAGCGCAAGAGGTTTTACCGCCCGCGCTCTAATGCAAACTTCGCACCCACGTAACAGCTCAGGTTACTGTATAACACGTTCCCGGGACTTTTAAATCCGCCTTGTCCACTACTATTAATACTGCACTATTATGCATGACCAGCACTGCAACTTTTCATGTTCAGTTTGTTTCACTGTTGCAGCAGTTCATCAAACGATGTCATTGTTTTCAAATGAATTAGCCTTTGTTCCTCCTCCGAAAATCACATTTATTCAGGTGATCTACTGAAAGGTGCTTACGAGTTATTCCAATCTTCTTAACTGATTAGTGTACGACTCGATGCGAAGGTGTTCCATTTGACAAGCTTATGTCTAGTATGAGTATACACTGGCAATGTCGAGAATTGATGTAATCGAGTTCTACTCTGGTATCGGAGGGATGCACTATGCCTTGAAAGGTGAGTTCCAATAAAACATTGCATCCTTTGCGATATGATTCAGTTTAAGCCTCCATCTGTTGAACGTTCAGAGGCCTGCCCCAATTCTCATGTGGTTGCTGCATATGATATAAATACGACTGCTAACCTAATATATGCCTACAACTTTCCAAATACGCCTATTTGTCAAAATAACATACAGGTAATGTAATAATTTCGCTGTACACCGGATAGAAAAGTCTGAGGTAGTCTTGCACAAGCTTGCACGGTCTTGGTGGCTGTTTCGCTGTGCCAGAAACATTTACAGGAGTTGTTAGCAGTTTTTCTATTCCTCAGTGAAAGTAGGACAACTTCTTTAGGTAAAAGACAGCGCTTCTGTTGTAAAGGTTGCGCGACAGGATGTGCTCAATTACATTGAAGTCTCCAGTAGCTAACCCCTCCTGCTAATTTTTCGTCTGAATTCGTGCAAAAAAAAGGTTACGAAACGTATGAAGCATGACATGTTATAATATGTTTCGTAATCTTCTTTTTTCTTGTAACATCTTTCAATTCTCTAGATCATTAACTCCCATCCTTCTCAGCCCCTCCTGTATTTAACTTCTCATAATCCGGTGATCGTGGGGCTACTGGCCACCAAATGCCGAACCCAGTTCAAAAAATCTGCTTACACCTAGTTAATGTGGTGCGGATCATTAACAATACTATTCATTGGACGAATATCCAACTGCTCAACATTACCTGAACTCAATACATTCAAAAAGGAAGATGGTTGGGAATAAAATGCGAACTGAGGAAGTTAACTGGGTTCCAACAGTAATCCAGCTAAGGGTCATCGCTCGGGCACCTGATTATAAGGCGATACAGCTATATGGCCAGTTCACTCCAAGCGTTCTTCTTCTAGCCTAATATCTTCGTTCGATGCATTATATACGTGGGAGACTAGAATGGGTGTATTCGAGCAAGGATATGTTTTGGAAGTCCACCATAAGGTCACTTTTCAACTTGGCTTCCGTTCTAAATTTTCGTTCGTGTTCTAGAGTAAAATAATCTGATAAATTGTTTTGTTCCTCTTTCACTTGTATCTTTTTTCATTATTATGAATTTGATTATAATTTCTCGTTGCTGTACTATACCACTCAATTTTAGGCAGTTTCAGTAGAGCACCTCGAAAGATTGAATGCGTACTTATGGACAATGAGCCCGCCTTGTCAACCATTCACAAAGTTAGTGGTTTACACGCCTCTCCGCGGCACTGATTCCTTAAGCAGTGACAGCTGCTCATAGTTCTACAACATTTTCTAGTCTTGCCCTCGTCATTATTTCGAGAGTTCTTCTTTGATATCGCTCATTTTTCGGCATGTGAAAAATCTGATCAGCAGTTGCTACAACTGCATTTCGCTTCATTTTTCGAAATCTACATATCCCATAAAGCTCATTCAGACGAATAATGTATCATGTTGAAGCAATGCCATATGATTCAATCCATTGGTTCTTAATATTCCTTAATTTGCAAATATATCCTATTCAGGAAAGGCTCTCAGCTGGGGATTGATGATCATCGATGTGACTCCTTCATGGCACTGTTAGAAAAGTTGAAACAGATGAAAAGTCGACCACGCTGCATTTTTCTGGAGAATGTAGTCGGGTTTGAGACTAGTCTTGCACAGAAGCACTTAGTATCGACTCTCACTGAGCTGAATTACGGTTACAAGGTAATTTTTAACATTCTAGCAGTAATTCTTCTAATTTAACCACTTTAACTTCTATCTTCTAGACTCACTCTGAACATTTTTTGGTTGTACAACTTTAAGCCTCGTTAGGATAATTTTTAAAGCTATCATTGCGCAAAATAATGTAGTCTGAGGCGAAACTCGTTCCCCACATGAGTCTTTTTTTCTTCTCTCGTTTCCTCTTTTAGAGGTCAGCAAAGAGGAAACAAAGCATTCATGAGAACACCGGCCTTATTCAGAAAAAAAGATGTGTAACTCGAAAGTTTCTAAATTCTTTGGCGATGTGAGCACGGTTTTTCTACGGTACAAGTTCGGTACCCAATCTCGAACGGAACAAGAACACGTATTTAAATGACCGTGTTCTTGATCCTCGTAGTACCGAATCTCCTCCTGCCCATCTCTCGATTTCCTGATGGCATTTCAAGTGCTCATCAACTTATCATTGGACACTGATATAGCTTGATGAATTGGTTAGGTATTGGTTCGTGAAGCTGCAAGCTTTTGGTCCTATCTACTTTGGCTGGGGTTTTTTTGACCGTTGTCCTTTGCTCTCAATTTTAGGACGAATATAAGCAGCAACAATGATATAATGGCCAAGTTCATTGAGCTGATTGCGTTTTTGTTCGTTTTCTATTATTTACCATTTTAGGAATTTATTTTGACTCCGCATCAACTTGGAGTGCCCAACTCAAGGCCTCGATATTATCTTCTTGCATGTAGCAATTGGAATTCAGAAAATGCTGCTAAGGAAATTTTAACATCTTTCGAAAGCTGCTCCGCACAGGAACCGAAAGAAATTCGCTATTTTCTGGAGGAATCTCCCTGCGATAAGCACCTCTACTTAAAGAAGGATACCCTCCAAAAATATGGACAAGCTATAGATGTAGTCACTCTTAACTCAACGAGATCTGCTTGTTTTACTAAGTCCTATGGCAGCTACATTTCTGGTTGTGGATCTTATTTTTGCTCTAAGTGAGTTTCGATATAATTTCTTTTTGAATAACATGATTGTTGTGTACACTGCCAACTTCCATTCTTTCTGTATAGTGTCTCTGCAGATCCGATCTTGTGGATGGTCAGCATCTCGATCCGCAGGCTCTCGTTGATGGAGAATTTCCCCAAGATGTTGTACGTCTATTTTCTCCTAGAGAAGTTGCCAACTTGATGTGCTTTCCAAGGGAGTTCAAGCAGCCTCCTGATGCCTCAGATAAGCAGATGTATCGATGTTTGGGAAATTCTGTTAATGTTCGCGTGGTAGCAGCTCTTCTGGGCGAACTACTGCAAATATGACGTTGTTTCCTCTCTTAGAAGGTAAACAATTGGTGACAATCATGTTTATTTTTCTCCATAAATACTTTTAGAGTCAAAGTGTTATGGCGAAAATTGTGTCACCAATTCTTTTTGAGATCGATCGGAATCGCATGCTATAAATGTTATGGAATCACAAGATTATAGATATTTGGACTCATACAACCAGACATAATGTGAAGCAGTCCTGGCCTCAGGGTCTTTCAATATTGTTTGCATAGCTCTTCGAACCACTTTTTAGCTGCTACGAGGTGTAACCCTCGAAGTGAGACGCCTATGAGCTCTTTATTTCACTGAGAACTCGTTCATCATCATGTGTATGCGAGGCTACGAATTAATCATCGAGTACGTACCTTGAGACCTAATTTTAGAAACTTCACGGTGTTTTTCTTTCTTTCAATCACCCTTTGGGAAAAAAAATGTAGTTGTTCAAGGGGAAAGCATATCTATTAAAGCTGTCAGCAATATTTACCTCCTCATTCCCATTGCATGTTTTGTGCATTAGTATTAGTGGTACTATTAACGCATTAGTAATGTGTTAATGCATGATTCCTTAGCAGCATTGTTAGAAGTTGGTGATATTTTACAGAGGCTACCTGCAGATCTAGAACCTGTATGAAAGTCATTTGCACCCAAACCCTCACAACCTGCACGAGGTAATATCACCTGTATCACCTATCGTCCCTTTGATCATCGATTTCCTCGAGGGGGCGACAGTAACGTCTCTATTCGTCCCTATCGCGAGCCAGAGTAGTCCAGTGCATCGTACTCGCTCGTGGGACACGGGGTAAAACATTCCTTCGTTGACTTGTTGTTTGCGTCATAACTAGGCCTTAAAGCTGCACTGACAGTTCAAGATAAAATTCATTGCTTGCCTTTTTTCAGTGTTTCCGGATTAAGTGAGGTCATTCAAATATTGCAAAAAAATGCTCTGTATTGCTAGTTCTCGCCCTGTCCTATATCGAATTCGAATAGCGTTGTTTCATATGCATGGGGAGCATCAGGCTCTAAATGGAGCTGCTCAGAAGTGTGGAAATCACGATAAAATTTAACAGCATTTAACCATCACGCGTAGCAGACAGAAAGGAACGGTCAACCGGCCCTGCCATTCGCATTCCCAGATGGAAAGGCACAGAAACCTTGTCATCCCCTCCCCGCCTCCACAATAACCATTTAAACGACCTCCTTTCTCGACCAACACCTTGAATACCGTCAGCGTTCCCACTACGGCCCTTTTCCAATGGTGCTAAGAGCAAAGAGGCTGCACTAACATAAACTGAAGCCGGCGTTATTCCTCTCGCATGGCATCAGATTACCTCTAGAGGTGCGCTGATTTGCTGGGGTAGGAACTCTACAGAAATTATCTATCGTTTCGGCGGTCTGGGTATTGTGTGGGGGAAGGGGTGGAGGGGAGGGAGGGGCAGAT